TAATACTGCCTTGCCTTGCTTGTGCCCTAGCCTCAGGGAAGGGAGGGTGGCTGTTCTCCGCTGTGTTGCTTCATACCCACATTTTCACTCTCTGTCCCTGCCTGGCTGCTCCTCTTCCTGGGCCAGCACATCCAGCTGTCTTTGCCCTGCTCTCTTTCTCTTTGCAGAGCTCTTCCTCACTTGCTCACAGAGTCTCTGAGGGATATCCGGTCTACAGGGTGTTCCAGTGGAGTTCTAGAACATGCCCTCGGCCATGGGCTGGAGATGGTTTCTGGTGGGAAGTGGCTCTGGGACAGCCTGAAAGCCATAGCTGTACACTATTTTTACCAAGCTCATCAGGAGGTGCTTGGGAGGCTTCCAAGGCCTGAAACAGGTCCCCTTCCCTGAGGGACACGGGTTCGGAAGTGAAGGCTGCCTCTGTCTCGAGCATTAGAAATTGCGACTTTCCTGTGGGCAAACAACAGCACCAGTCTTGTTAGGGACACAGGTCCAGGCAGAAAAGCTCTTGTTCCACCTTTGCCCCACACCCAGCTCCCTGGAGGACCTGGTAGTTTTCCACATTCTTTTACTCCCATTTGTGGGGCTCTGGAGCCTGGCCAGGTATCTCTCCATGGGAACCAGAACCCAAGGCATCGTAGGCCCCTAAACCTCTCCAACAACTGCATGTGGCTGTTCCTAGTGCGAAACGCCAGGCACGCTCACCTTCCCCTCCTCGTTCCCTGGAGAGTGGGTGTTGAGGACCCGACCGCTCTCTTCTTCACCACCTCAACCCCAGGGACCACAGGAGGAACTCCAAATCTAACCTGAGCTGGCAGGAGGGGCGGCACAGGGGCCTCCTAAGGATGGTGCAGGTGGGAGCGAGAGCTGAGGTAGGGGGGAGGAAGGAATACTTCCGGGAGATAACAGATTTGAATTGCACCTCAAAACCCAAAAGGAGGATGCATTGTTGGGGCAGGGAAGATAAAAATAAGCGAAGTGGAAAGCCGAGGATTTGAATTTAGACAGATCTGGGTTCACATTTCAGCTCCATCTCAAGCTGTGAAATCTTAGGCAACTTCTGGAGTCCTCGGTTTCCTCCTCCACGCTCCACAATGGTGATTATTCCATCGTGTTGTTGCAGCATTCAATGAAATAATGTACATAAGAAACTAACCAGCCAGGTGCTGTGGCTCATGCCTGCAATCCCAACACTTTGGGAGGCCAAGGTGGGAGAACTGCTTGAGGCTAGGAGTTTAAGACCAGTCTGGCAACATTGCAAGACCTTACCTCCACTAAAAATCTAAAACTTAGCTGTGTGCAGTGTTAAATGCCTATGGTTCCAGCTACTTGGGAGGCTGAGGATGCAGTCTGAGGTTGTAGTGAGCTATGATCGCACCACTGCACTCGACCCTGGGCAACGAGTGAGACTTTGCCTCAAAAGAAAGAAAGAAAGAAAGAGAGAGAAAGAAACTTACCAAGTTTTCTGGCGTATATTAGGCACCCAGTAAATGGTTGCTATTATTGTTATCACTGTGTTGGCGAGAGAGAGTCAAGAAGTGGGAATTGAAGAGCAGACTTTCTTGTTTGTAGGGACAGGCAACCACAGTGAGGAGGGGAAGAAATCCCCAGACAGGGGTCTCTACCAGAAGCCATCTGTTATCTCATGAGAGCCTAGCCTTACCACTCTGGTGCCGTCTTGTTGACTCAGATACAGGCTTTGATTTCCTTGGAGGGTCTCAGTTTACAACAGCAATAAGCAGCATCTTGGAAAATTAGAGTCACAGAGACTGGGCAGAGTCTCTCTCACTGTCAGATAAAGGGGACCCTGTTCCGATTCCCATCAGTGACAAGGGATGACGCTCAGGCTGCCACTGAGCATGAGGGCCAGGCCAGAAGGAACAATGGTTGGGCAGGTGCCAAGGTCTTGGGAAAAAACTGAGGTCCCAAGAGAGGAACCAGAGCTGCCCCAGTGGGTACTGCCTTCCCTTTTGTGCCTCTTACTTTTTGCTCCCAGCCCCCGTTTCTTTTTATCTTTTCTTTTTTTTTTGAGAAGGAGTCTTAATCTGTCACCCAGGCTGGAGTGCAGTGGCACGATCTCAGCTCACTGCAACCTCTGCCTCCTGGGTTCAAGCAATTCTCCTGCCTCAGTCTCCTGAGTAGCTGCGATTACAGGCACACACCACCACGCCCAGCTAATTTTTTTGTATTTTTAGTAGAGACAGGGTTTCACCATGTTGGTCAGGGTGGTCTTGAACTCTTCACCTCGTGATCTGCCCAGCTAGGCCTCCCAAAGTGCTGGAATTACAGGCGTAAGCCACCAAGCCCAGCCCCCAGTTTCTTTTTTCTTTTTTTTTTTTTTTTTAATAGAGATGGTGTCTCACTACATTGCCCAGGCTGGTCTTGAACTCCTGGCCTCAAGTAATCCCACCTCTGCCTCCCAAAGTGCTGGGATTACAGACGTGAGCCACCACAGCTGCTTCCCCTGCTGACGTCTAATCCCTCCAACCCCTGTCTCTGACAAGGAAGGTGGGACCAAGCCGAGACATGTTAGGGGAGGTGGTGATGATACCACAGACATTGGAAGTCTGCTCCCAGGGTGCTGGTTACAGTATTGGGCTTCCTCCTACATCACTAGGTCTGGGGAACTCATAAAAGCTTAGAGGGCCAGGAAAATGGGGTAGCAGTCTTAAAATCCTGAGAAGTGAGAATTCACAGCTGTCGGTTTCACCTCACCCCACTTCTTTTCTTCAACTCCAGTTCTCTGTTTCCTCTTTTTCTTCTCACTCTCTCTGTTCCATTCTCTTTTTTCTGCCTCTTCCTCAGACTGGCTTTGAAAGTTTTCAGCTTCTGTTCCCAAACCCCCTTCACATACAGAAGACTCTCTGTTTCTCTTGTCTCCTCATTTGTGTCTCTGGTTGCCTTACCCACAGAAGGGATCCCTGCCTTCTCTGATAGAGGCTTAAAAGAGAGCAAAGCCGCAGGGCTGGGGTAGCTCAGCCTCAGGGGACCATGGGGGAAAGGCCTGGGCCACATGGAGATGGAAGCGTGAGCCAGCTCATGACTGCATAAAGACTGCCGTACTGATTGGGCTCTGGTGACTCACCACTCAACAGAGGGGTCTGGGAGAGTGATGTCACTGTTGACCCTGGAGCTGCCACATCCCTGCCCTGAGACCTTTTCTTGCCTTGCTGGCTTCTTTTTGCCTCCCTTTATAGGGCAGGGCAAGGAAAGCAAGTTTCACCTTTGATGACATTTAGAACCACAATGTGGTTTACTAAAACCGAGAATTTCCTTCCCACTTCTTCACCTCCTCCTCCTCCTCCTCCTCCTCCTCTGCCTGTCTTGGGTGGGGGGTATACTCATGTGCACGTGGGCATTCTCTGTCTCACACATGTGTGCACATTTCTTAGATGTATGTACAGCTCACGTGCATTCGCGCGCACACACACACACACATACTCACACATACTCCCACCTGCCATCTGTTTCCGTCAGTCAGGGGATCACATAAACTGGGCCTCCAAACTGTGCAGGGAGACTGGAAGGGGCTGATTCTCCCTGAGGGGGACCTGAGGAAGAAGGCCTGTGTGCTCTTGTCTGCTGACATCTTGATGCCATGTACCTCTTCGCTTCAGAGGCTGCACCCTTGAGCCCTAATAAGCCCAGCTTTTGGGTTAGGCATGTGAGTCCTTGAGAAGGTGCACTTCCAATTTCATAATCGGAGGAAAACTGGGGTGGAATTGGGTTGTGGGTAGGGACGGTGGGGATATATAGAGGAAGACAATTCGGATAGGCCAGACACTGGAAACTGATCCAAGACAAATGTCATCATTGTCCCCTTTCCCACCCTCCCCCAAATTAGCTGTATCTTTCTTTCCCTCTACATTTTGAGAAGAGAGAAAGTCGAATCTCACTTGGTAATCAAGTCCCAGGAATCTAGCTTAAGCTGGAACAGAGGAAGAGTTCCCAACATGAGGCTGAATATTAATGCTATGTAAATCACATGCAAATGTATTGAAAACAACAATAAATAGACAGTGGGTCTTGAAAAAGGAACAATTAGACTGAGGTGAAGGCAGTGGAGGAGCCACAGCCTAGTAACGGGGTGACTTCTGGAGTCTGAGTGCAGACTGGCCCACTCCTGTCCTCTAGAGATCCTGGCCTATCTGTGGTTGGTAGACATGGTTTGTTTGGGCCATAAGCAACTAACCAACAAATCCTTATCAAATGTATACTTGGCCTGGTGGCGGAGATGGATTTTCTGTGAAGCTGATGAAGCTTGGATGGCAGTGCTCCTCATTTATACAGGCCCCTTCCAAAACCTGCACTTAATTCATGTTCATAATCTTGTACTTTGTTTCTTAAAGAGGGCTCCCAGGCCAGGCATGGTGGCTCACACCTGTAATTCCAGCTTTTGGGGAGGCCAAGGTGGGCAGATCACCTGAGGTCAGGAGTTTGAGACCAGCGTGGCCATCATGGTGAAACTCCGTGTCTACTAAAAATACAAAAAATTAGCCGGGTGTGGTGGCGGGTCCCTGTAATCCCAGCTACTTTGGAGGCTGAGACAGGAGAATCGCTTGAACAAGGAGGTGGAGGTTGCAGTGAGGTGAATGCTCTGCACTCCAGCCTGGGTGACAGAGCAAGACTTCATCTCAAAAAACAAACAAAAAACAAGAGGGCTCCCTAAATTGTACAAGCTTTAGGCCCCACAAAACCTGGGTTCACCTCTGCAGTGACGGGGATAATTATGTAAAATGCTGACATGCTGTCTGTTCTTGGTTTAATTAGCAGCCTCCTTTGAAATAATCTCTGTCAGAGATGTGTCTGTGTGCACAGCCTTATGTGCCCCTTTGCCTAGGTGGAGGGGGACCCCATGGTTGCTCCTGTCTCCAAGATACCACAGTTTTCTGCCTTGAGACTGGGGTAAGAAGAGGGCAAAAGAAACTACTTTGTTTCCAAAGGGAATGTGGCTGAGAACCCAAGGAACAAGTACCTGATAATAAATAATAAAAATACCTTACCTTTGTAAAGTCTTTAACAGTTTCCAAAGGGAATGTGTCATTTGATCTTCACAATAACCCTGAAGCAGGAAGGAAAGATATGGAGATTTGTTACAGACAAGTAAACTGAGGCTCAGAGAAATCTAATTACAGTAATAATCGCTCAAAAGCACAAAGCTGTTGTATCAGCAGGAACAATCACATATGTTCACTCATTTAATCTGCACAAGAACTCTATGAGGTGGATATAACTATTATCCTCATTTTAGAAACAGGGAAGCTCCACAGAGAGGCTAGGTCACTTGCACTAGCCAAACTAGAGTAGCCCAGCCAAGATCTGAACACAGTCTGGTGGCCGAGTCCTTGCTCTCAATCGGCACACCACTCCAATGCCTGTGCACAGTCATGGGCTAGACTTCAAGTCCTGACCTGTCCGACCCCTTTCTCATCACCACTAAGCACTAACGCATCCCTCTGAATGAGGAAATCAAAGCCTAGAGGGAGAGGCAGGAGACTGGTGGGAAGTCCAGGTAACTGACCCTAAGGATCAGGGTCTAGTCATGGAAATGGCCCCTCAGGACAGATGAGTACCAGTGTTCCTCCTGGACTGAGAGTGCAAGGCAGGAGGTGAGCCAGCAGGCACCAGCCCACCATGAGCCTGGGGAGACTTCTTAAAGAAGCTGGAATGTGTTGCCTTTCAGGAACCAATGTTTAACCACTTCATCCCACTCCTTACTTGCAAGTAAACTGAGGCTTAGACACATCTAATTACAATAATATGAGCTCATGGTCAAGTGTGGTGGACTATGCCTATAATCCCAGCACTTTGGGAGGCTGAGGCAGGAAGATTACTTGAGGTCAGTTGTTTGAGACAAGCTTGACCAACACAGTGAAATCCCATCTCTACTAAAAACACAAAAATTAGCCAGGTGTGATGGTGCACACCTGTAGTCCCAGCTACTCGGGAGGCTGAGGCAGGAGAATCGCTTGAACGCAGGAGGCAGAGGTTGTGGTTAGCCAAGATTGTGCCACTGCACTCCAGCCTGGGAGACTGAGCGAGACTCTGTCTCAAAAATATATAATAATAATAATAATATCTCATGAGCACAAAGCTACTGTATCAGCAAGGACAATCCCCACTTCCCAGACAAACAAGATCAAGATTATGGTCAGAGGTGTATTTAGGGAGATTACCATGGCAACGAGGTAAAGGATGATGGACTAGGAGTAGGGAGGTGGCACTAGAAGGAGACCGGTTAGGAGATGGTGGCAGAAATCCAGGTAAGAAGGGATGAGGCCCCACATGAAGGAAGGCAGTGGCTGTGAGGCTGTGGTGTAGCGGAGACGCTGCAGGGGAGAACGAATGAAGGGAGGACAGGGTGTCTTCTCCAATCAACACAGCCCACGTGCAGGCCCCAGTGGAAGAGGCGGGGTGCGGTAGAGAGTGGGAAGTGCTGGCGGTGGGGTGGAGGGGGGAGGGGCAGGCAATAAACACTTTGGCCTGCAGGATGAGCAGCCCCTGGAAGCTGCCAGAGTTGCTAACATCCGGTCTTCCTGCTCTCCCCCAGTCAGGCTAGCCACCGCCACCAGGTTGTGTGGTGTGTGTGTGGTGACGGGGCGGGGAGAAGGGAGAAGTGTCAGCCTTGGGCTCTGGGGCCACATCACAGGGAGGTGAACTATGGGGAGCATCAGGGAAGCGTGATTTAGAGTCTCATTCCCACTGCCCTTCTCTACGCTGCAAGGACAGTTCAATGTAATGTATAATTACCGCCGCCCCACGAGGCTGCACTGTACTCAGAGCTCCCACCTTCCTCCACTCCCTCCTGCCTGCCTTCAGACTATAAATCAGTTTTCAATCCTGAATGCTACCTGTAAATGTTCGCGCTCAGGATCCTCGTCTCATATTCCTGTGTCCCTGGGGGTAGCTCAGGCTGTGAGTCGCCTGCTTCCCCAAGTCCTGACTCTGACATCCCAGTCCCTGATTGATGGTGGGAGGAGCAGCAGCGGGGAAACTGGAGTTGGCTCTACGATCTCTGGATTCCTGGCTTAGGGAGAGGGGTGGGTGGCTCTGCATCTACCTGTCTCAGCCAGGCCTGAACTGGACACTCCCCAGTGTACAGAACTGTGAACATGCTCCGGACCAATGGATGGGAAGGCATTGAAACTGACCCCTCCCCCAAAATGGCAGCTTCTTCCCAGCCCTGTCAGATGTGCCAGAGCAGGCAGGTGGGCACATTCACTGGAGTGTCCAAAAGACAGTGCCCTCCCCATATGCTGATCTGGGGATGGAGAGGAGCAGCCACGGCTTTCCCGAGCTGGGATGGGAAATCCTACGATGTACTTTTGAGGTGATAAAAGGACAAATCAAGAAAGAAATTCGCCAGGCACGGTGGCTCATGCCTATACCCCCAGCACTTTGGGAGGCTGAGACAGGCAGATTACCTGAGGTCAAGAGTTAAAGACCAGCCTGGCCAACATGGTGAAACCCCATCTCTACTAAAAATACAAAAATTAGCTGGGCATGGTGCCACGTGCCTGTAATCTCAGCTAATTGGGAGGCTGAGGCAGGAGAATCTCCTGAACCCCAGAGGAGGTTGCAGTGAGCTGAGATAGTGCCACTGCACTCCAGCCCGGCAACAGAGTGAGACTCTGTCTCAAAAAAAAATAAAAAACCACAAAGAAGAAATAAATTATTATTTTTCTTTTTCTTTCTTCCTTTTTTTTTTTTGAGACAGTTGCCCAGGCTGGAGTGCAGTGGCACAAAGATGGCTCCCTGCAGCCTCAGTTGCAGGTGTGTTATGTCACCACCATTTGCTGATCACCCCATCTGAAGAAGGTCCCCCTGCCCTGACCTATTACCTTCTATCTTAGCGCCCTGTTTGTTCACTTTATAGTACTAATTATCATTTATAATTCTATATTATCTGATGTCTTCATTTTTTGTGGATTTTCTTTCACTCCTGGACTGGAATCTCTGTGAAGGCAGGGGCCATGGCCTAATCAACACTGTATTCCAGGTACTTAGCATCAAGCTTCACACATCATATTAAATACTTTTTGAATGAACTGAATGCATGCAGACAGGGTGGGGTGGCTGCCAAAGAGAAAGTCTTGGAAGCTGAGGCTGACTCTGCGGGCTCCCTGATGGCAGCCCCATTGGCAGATAGCAGCTGGGCAGATTCCTCCTTGCCTAGGAGACCAGGCTCACCACCCCAGGGGAACTGAGAGGCCCCAGCCCCCTTCCTCTCCCTCGGGAAAACTCCAGCTGTGACCCTTCCTAGCTGTCCCTGGAGCTGCCTTCTGAGGACCAGGGGTTAACAGCCCGTGTTTACCACTTCCCACTCCCCGACAAGAGCCCCGGGTCACTGGAAAGCTTGGCCCAGCCCAAACTGATACCTTGCCTGGGCTAGGGACTCAACCTGGGGAAAGCAAAGAGGGACTGAGGAGGAAGCTCCTCCACGAATTATAATATCCATGAAGTGAATGCAAATGAACTGAAAGCATCTTTTGAATAAGCAGCTTTTACTGAGGGAGCTGCTCTAATCCCTAAATGGCTTTGCTGACAGGGAGGAGCTTCCCGGTGGTGGAAGGGGTGGGAAATGGAGACGCACTGTCTAGAGTCGGCTCTGGGGTGCACTTGTCCCTGCACTTTTAGATTCAGGACACGCTTCTTGTGGCTAATGGAACTCTGAGATCTCTAACCTTGGCCTCCATATTCCACAGCCTGCCTCCGCCCCCAGAGTCTGCAGAGCCCGGCCTCTGTGTTTCCAGGGTGCTGGGTCTCAGTGTCGAGCGATTCTCTGGGACTGGAAGCAGCTGAGCGTGGCCAAAGTGATACAGCCCAGTGGGCTCTCTGGTGACCACGTGAGACATTCCTGGGCCTGTGTGTAAGGTGTGTGGCTGTGTGCGCCAGTGGGTTTGTGTCCATTTACACATCCCCTGGAAAGAAGTGTCACTGCGTTTGTGCCTCTGTGTCTGTCCCCGCCCCCAGGTCTCCATCCATCTGTATTCCTCCCCAGGTTGGGGGTGGGGGCTGGCCTCAGCTGGGGAGTCATGCTTTTTCAAGGACTAATGACTTTTATCAGAATGATAATGAACTGATGACACAGGGAGGCCCTGGGCTCTGGAGAGAAGTCAGAGAAGGAGCAATGGGGGACAGAGAGGAGGCTGGCAGCGTTTGGAGGCTAGAGGACTTGGCCTCCCAGAAAGGCCAGCCAGCTCCGTTCAGCTTTCAGAGGAGGAAGGAGACAGGGACAGAGGAACCCTAGGAGATGTTGGAAACACATTCTCCATTTCTCTTCCCTGTTCCACCTGCCTCTTCCTGAACCTGCCATTCCCTGCTTTGCCGTTCCTCTCGCCCTCCCAAAGCGCTCCCCTTGACTACGGGGCTATGAGGCTAAAGCTGGCTATTCCCCTCTCCCAGACTTCTCCACCCTGGCCCTGACCCAAAGCCAGGTCCTGCCCAGAGACGGAAGAGGAAGCTGCTCCAAGAATTCTGAATGGGCAGAGTCACATAGGTGGCCTGAGCAGGTCTTGGAGCACCAGAAACTGGAAAGCTGCCCCTTGGGCATGGAGTTTGTTAAGGCTAATTGGCCTCAATATTCTTTCATAATAAGAGTAGAGCCAGTTGAGTTGTCAGTGGGGAAAAGAGAGGAGAAATCAGAAGTTCACAGAACATCCACGCTAGGGACTTGGGAGATCACAAAAGCAGGAACTGTTCTCATTGGTCAGAGAAGGTAAGTGATACCCACCTCCCAAAGGTTTCAGAGAGATTTCAGATAGAGCCTGCAGCGTGCAGGGGGTTCCCCTCACTGGAAAACCTCCTTCACCTGCTGCAGAGAGGCAGCCACCTCTGCCCCAGCTGGAAAGCTCCAGCCCCTTTAGAATAGCCTGGCAGGCAGTGAATAATCAATAAATATCAGCTGTTGTGGATATTAGCATAATCTTCTGGTGGAAAGTCTCTGAGGGTAGTCCCTGCAGAGAGGGCTCAGCTTCTAGGACCCTGGGATTCAGAAGAAACAAGGGACAGTGCAAAGCAAGCATGGTACTAAGATACCCAGCTTGAAGACCAAGGGGGCAGGCATGCCCGCCCTCACTGTGGCCTCTCCTTCCCCTGCCCCAGTCTCTCAGGGGCATCTTCCATTTGGGGCCGGCAGGGAGTCCTCCCTCTGTCCCAGGCAGGACCAGTGACCTTTTGCTCAAGTCTGCAAATATATTCTTGTCTAGTCTTGGAAATGAAATTGTGCTCAACATTTGTATAGGGCTTTTCCATCACCCAGCCCTTTACAGACATTAGCTAATTGAATGGAGGAGGGGTAGAGAGGAGCTGGCCTCTGCAGTCAGGGACCCCAGGCCCTTTGGCCCTGGGCTCCAGTCTCACCCCTCCCTTCTTTCCTGCATGATGGGACTTACTCTAAAGAAGAGGCAACTCCTGAGGAATTGGCCACTGAGTCAGAAAGCAAGGGAAGCTGGGAGCTTGGTAATCTGTGGAATGGGTAAGGGTCTTCCTCAGGCCATCCTGTCCTACAGCCATACCCAGCAACTGGCTCAGTCTGAAAGTGCAGTTCTGTGTCTGTCATCAGTGGGTCGGACAAACACAGAGCTGTGTGGCCTGGTCTAGGGATGGGCCAAGCTCTCACCCCATCGGGGAGGCACAATTGTGGACAGCTGCTCCCAGCCTAGAGAGAAGCACAGAAGCCTCTACCTGCCATGCTCTTCCTGGCCAGAATTGGAGGGGAGCCATCCAGTGTCAGCAGAGCGGCTTGCCCTGCCCCACCTCTCCGTCTCCACCCTCGTAGCCCCTGCCTGTGGCAGCTTGAGGCAGTGAGTAGAACTGCCCTCCAGGGCAAGCAAATCAACTCTCACCTGGGGCGGGATGGTAGGTGGGGGCCCGGAGACAGACCAGTTATGGAAACTAACATAAACATGGGGAGGAAATAGGACATATTTCTAACTGAGACTGTGGGAGAAAGGAAAGGAAGAAGACTAGAAAGAGAGACGCGGGAAAAAAACATTTTCACGGGGTGCCCATAGTGTCAAAGATTTGAGGATTTCTTGGCACAGCCACAGGCAGCCCCATGTTGGATTCCCCGAGGCCTGAGAGAGCTGCCCCAGACCTCTGAGAGAGCCACCCTCCCACCCCACTGCCTGTTATCCCTCATACCCACAAGGGACGGCATCACGGCTGCCCACCTCACAGGCGTGGGCTTCTTCACGGGGCAGGTGGTACATGTTCTCCTTCCTGATTCCGTCAGAGACTGGAAGGTGGAGACTCACTCTCTTTCCGCGGCCTGGCTGCCCCCGGCTCACCCTGATCCCATCAGCCTGTTGGGAGCTGATTGGAGAATCAGCAATTCTAGAGACCCTGCCAGGTCCAGCAGAGGAAGACCTGACCTCCCTGTACCATAATTATCTGTCTCATAAAAAACAGGCATTGAACTTCATAAAACCAATGAGGGGTACAGGGCCAGGTCATGGGAGCAAGTAGGAATTTAGCTCTGGTGACAGTGGCAGTCAACTCCAAGGACAGAGCGGTGACAGCTCCCTCCTCTGAGGCCCAGCCCCAAAGGCCACCCAAACAAAGCTCCTGCAGATGCAACAGAAGAGGCTGAGGTCAGAACCAAGGAACGACTGGCTGGCTGGCAGGGGCAGGGAGCACTGGAGTGGTTTCTTCCCTTTATGACAAGCAGCCCAGCAGAGCCTGAGTCCTCCCTCCACAGCCCTCTCTGGTTCCAGAAAACCTCAGGAGCTTCCCGTCATGTTACCAAGGCAACTGCAGCACTGTAAGATTCACAGTGAGGATAGAGAGACTCGGACTGACAGGAAGCCCAGACAGAACGCCAAGGTGGAGACACACGTCTGAGATGAGCAGGAAGGCAGGGGCTTTGGGCCAGAGCAAACAGCCCCTGCCTTTCTGTTTGGGCTGTTCCAGGATCTGTTTTGCTGCAGGCTGTGAGTTTGTTTTACACAGCCCAATCCCCCGTGGGTGAGAAAACAGCATCAAAGCTTCCTTCCCTGTCAGGTGGGAATGGAGTAGGGCAGAGGAGGGATCCTCCACAACTTCCCAGAATGGCAGATGCTACAGCTCCTGGCCCAGCCCATGAGCAAGGGTTCTCCTGCTTTCAAAGGCCAGTGGGACCCTCCTCCATCACCACCTGCTTGCTCTACCCTGGTCCCCTTGGGAGGCAGTCTTGCCAAGGGATCAGCTGCACAGGCTGCATTGGTTGGAATCAGAGGGAAGTGTGTTTGGCTCCTGGCTTGGTCATTTTCTAAGACTCCGTGACCTTGGTGAAGTCACTTCTTGCCCAGATTGTTTCCTTAGCTGAAAATGGGGATAATATGATGAATTCTTAGGATTTAATAATACCATATATGTCATGTGCTTGCAGCAAGCCTGGCACAGGGTCGATTCTTTTTTAAAAGCTGTTTTGGAGTCTCTCTGAGCCTACTCTGGCTTGGGAGGCTGCCTGACTTAAAAAATAATAATAGCTGGGCGCGGTGGCTCAAGCCTGTAATCCCAGCACTTTGGGAGGCCGAGGCGGGTGGATCACGAGGTCAAGAGATCGAGACCATCCTGGTCAACATGGTGAAACCCCGTCTCTACTAAAAATACAAAACATTAGCTGGGCATGGTGGCACGTGCCTGTAATCCCAGCTACTCAGGAGGCTGAGGCAGGAGAATTGCCTGAACCCAAGAGGCGGAGGTTGCGGTGAGCCGAGATCGCGCCATTGCACTCCAGCCTGGGTAACAAGAGTGAAACTCCGTCTCAAAAAAAAATAATAATAATAATAATAAATTAAAAAGAGAGAGAAAAAAAGCTGTTAAAAGCTGGGCATAGTGGCTCAGGCCTATAATCCCAGCATTTTGGGAGGCCAAGGTGGGGGGATCACTTGAGGTCTAGAGTATGAGACCAGCCCGGCCAACATAGTGAGACCTCATCTCTTTTTAATTTAAAAAAAAAAAAAAAAAAAGCTGTTAAAATTTTATCATTGTTGGGCTGGGCATGGTGGCTCATGCCTATAATCTCAGCACTTTGGGAGGCTGAGGCGTTCAGAAGTTCAAGACCAGCCTGATCAACATAGTGAAACCCCATCTCTACTAAAAATACAAAACTTAGCTGGGCATGGTGTGGTGTGCCTGTAATCTCAGCTACTTGGGAGGTTGAGGTAAGAGAATCCCTTGAATCCAGGAGGCGGAGTTTGCAGTGAGCCAAGATCATGCCATTGCACTCCAGCCTGGGCAACAAGAGCAAAACTCTGTTTCAAAAAAAAAAAATTTATCATTACTATTCTAATTTCTATTATCATTGTATGTGCCTCTCTTTACTCATCTGTAAGATAGAAATCATGATTAGACCTAATTAAATGAGTAGTCTGCAGGTTCTATAAGAGAAAACATGTAAAACGCCTTGACCAGCACATTAGCCGTGGGAAGCATCAATGAATAGGAGTGATCCCTACACTCCCCTCGTTACCCCCACCCCAGGCCTTCAGATTGCCTACTGGGGAGCCACCACCAACTGGCACAAATTCCCAGTTCCCTAAGTAGTAGGGGCCATGAAAATGAGGTTTCTGGAGCTATAGTGGGGGAAACCATTCTTCTTTTTTTCTCCTTCCCTGCCCTCTGGGGAAGTCATTCCTTCCCCGCTCCTACCAGGAAGGAGCCTTTGACCTCCGTCCTTCCTCATTTCTGTCTCAAGCCTGAGGTCCCCTGAACAGGCTGATATCCAGCTAATGCCCAGTGTCTTGGAGAAAAGGAGGAAACGGTCATTTAGAATGGACAAAATTTTGCCCCTATACAGAGGGCTGGTGTCGGGCTTGGGGTGGAAGAACACACGGGAGAATGGATAAGGCCTGGCACCTCTTACAGGTGCCTAGGTTCCTCGTTTTCTGTCGGCCCAGCTGAGACCTTATTTCAGCAAGGAGATCTGAGATGTGACTGAGGAGGGTGGACTGTTCCCAAATCCTCACTGCCTTCTTCCCTGAATGCCAACACTCCTCCAGGCCCCATCATGCTTTTGACCTTTGAGAGGGATGAAGAGGCTGATTTGTGATGGGCTTTGAACTGATACAGTTTCCTCATCCTTGGCTCTTTTCACAGATCTGCACCTTACTGGTCCATTCCCACAGAGGTTGCACAGGCGGGTGTCTCAGAGGTCTGCAGTGTGTGCCACGAGCTAAAGAATGGGCTAGAACCACAGCTGGGAGGATTTAGATGAAACCTCAGGGAAAACGTCCTTGGGGAAAGAGCTGAGAGACACAAAGAAAAGGCTACAGGCCCACACAATTTTCCTTTTTTTTTTTTTTTTGACGGAGTTTTACTATTGTTGCCCAGGCTGGAGTGCAATGGCACAATCTCGGCTCACCACAACCTCTGCCTCCCCGGTTCAAGCAATTCTCCTCCCTTAGCCTCCCCAGTACCTGGGATTACAGGCATGCACCACCACACCCAACTAATTAGGCATTTTTAGTAGAGATGGGGTTTCTCCATATTGGTCAGGCTGGTCTCAAACTCCTGATCTCAGGTGATCCACCCACCTTAGCTTCCCAAAGTGCTGGGATCACAGGCATGAGCCACTGCATCTGGCGGGCCCACACAATTTTCTTCTCTTCAGATTTTCAATCAGAGAAGACCCCTTCCCTACCCGCTACTGCCCTAGAGCACTCCAGAGCTAATGCTTCAGTAGGGCTGGGCTGGAGCTGAGGCTGGGTATCCGTCTGTAACTGTCAGGACCCTTAGGGCATTTAAAGAGGGTAGGGCAACCCCACCACACCCCCAAGGCAACCCTGTGGCCCTGTGGGATGAGGTAGATTCCTGAAGCCTGGGAGTTTCTGCAGAGCCAGACTCTAAGTAGGGATATCTAATCTTTTGGCTCCCCTGGGCTACATTGGAAGAAGAACTGTCTTGGGCTACACATAAAATACACTAACATGGGCCAGGCGCAGTGGCTCATGCTCGTAATCCCAGCACTTTGGGAGGCCAAGGAGGGTGGATCACAAGGTCAGAAGTTCAAGACCAGCCTGGCTAACATGGCGAAACCCTGTCTCTACAAAAATACAAAAATTAGCTGACATGGTGGCTCGAGCCTATAATCCCAGCTACTCGGGTGGCTAAGGGATGAGAATCGCTGGAACTGGGAGACGGGGAGGTTGCAGTGAGCGGAGATCGCACTACTGCACTCCAGCCTGAGAGAGCAAGACTTCCTCCAAACAACAGCAACAAAAACCCACTAACACTGACAGCTGTGAACTAAAAATATATATATCGCAAAAGTATCTCATGTTTTAAGAAAGTTTACAAATTTGCGTCAGGCCGCATTCAAAGCTGTCCTGGGCCACATGTACTCCTCAGGCCGTGGGTTGGACAAGTTTGCTCTAGGGGGAACAGATCTGAGGATGACTTTTGCATGTCCTCCCCCAGTACAAGTCCACTGACTCCAGACTTGGGCCTGTGCCCTCAGCTCTGCTGGCAATGCCTTTGTCTGCAGTCTAGAGGTCTCATCCTGCACACCAGCCACCATACCCGGGATTGCCCCCCATCCTTTGGACAGAGAGAAGTTGGAGGTACTAGAAGCCAAAAAGCCAGTCTTTTTTTCTGGGGCTGTGTAAGCTGATACAGGCATCATACCCTCACCTCCCATTCCCCTAAGCCAATACATACGCAGGCCTTCTTACTGGAAGGAGAAACTCCTGAGTGTGAGAGGCTTCGGCGTGACAGGGTGCGGAGGAGGAAGCCCGAAGAAGACAACTGGGAAGAAAGTCCTAAAGGTGTCAGCTCCAGATGAGGAATGTGCTGCACCCTACCGACCAGCTCAGCACTCCGGGCTCAGGCCCCCCATCTGATGGGGTCAGGAACAGTCACAGAGGACTGTGAGATCTGGGAGAAAGAGAGAAAGCCATTTTTTTTTCAGAAGGTGGTGAGCAGGTCATGGGCAATAGCAACACAGATTAACCTAAGAAAAAATCCTGAAGAAAATTGGGACATTCAGCTCTTCCAAGACAGCCAGCCCAGGGTGAGCTGCTGGGGGCTGGCAAAGGGTCAGGGGTTACAGTGTCCCCAGCCTGGGACCCAGCCAGCCTTGGCCATGGCCCCAGATGGAGACTTGCCCTACTTGCTGATCTCCCAGAGGCAGAAGCCAGATTCCTTCCAGCCCAGGGAGTCTCTGGACAAGTCATAAAAGTGTTTCCTCCAAGTCTCTATCTGGTCCTGCTAGAAAAAAAAAATGTCTGTCCATCTGTCAGTTTGAAGGTGAATGGGGCTGGGTGCCGTGACTTACACCTGTAATCCCAGCACTTTGGGAGGCTGAGGCAGGAGGATTGCTCGAGACTAGGAGTTTAAGACCACTTGGGCAACACAGACCCCATCTCTACAAATAAAAATGTAAAAATTAACCAGGTGTGGTAGCGCATGTTTACAATCCTAGTTATTAGGGAGGCTAAGGTGAGGGGATGGCTTGAGCCCAGGAGTTTGAGGCTGCAGTGAGCCATGATCATGCCACTGCATTTTGGCCTGGGTGACATAGTGAGACACTATCTAGAAGGAAGGAAGGGAGGGAGGGAGGAGGGAGGGGAGGGAGGAAGGGAAAGAGAGAGAGAGAGAAAGAAAGAAAAGAAAGAAAGAGAAAGAAACAGAGAGAGGTTGGGGGGAGGGAGGAAGGAAGAAAAGCTAAAAGGTCTGCCCCATTCACCTTTTTCTTTTCTTTTTTTTTCCTTTTTTTCTTTATTTCTTCTGTTGATTTGCATTTTTTTTTTTTTTTTTTTAATACAGAGACAAGATCTCAGCCAGGTACAGTGGCTCATGCCTGTAATCCCAGCACTTTGGGAGGCCCAGGTGGGCTGATCATGAGGTCAAGAGTTCGAGACCAGCCTGACCAACATGGTGAAACCCCGTCTGCACTAAAAATATAAAAATTAGCCAGGTGTGGTGGCATGCGCCTGTAATCCCAACTACTCAGAAGGCTAAGGCAGGAGAATTGCTTGAACCAGGAGGTAGGCGTTGCAGGCGAGCCAAGATTGCACCACTGCACTCCAGCCTGGGTGACAGAGCGAGGCTCCGTCTAAAAAATCAGAGAGAAAGAGAGGGAGAGAGAGAGAGAGAGACAGAGAGAGAGAGAGTCTCACTATGTTGCCCGGGCTGGTCTTGAGCTCTTGAGCTCAAGTGATCCTCCTGCCTTGGCCTTCCAAAGTGCTGGGATTACAGATGTGAGCCACCACGCCCAGCCCCACTCACCTTCAGACTGATGGATGGACAGACAAAATTTCTGATGTTCCTTGAGCCACGGCTAAGACATCAGCCCAGAATCCTCTTCTCAGATGACTCAGGAGCGCCCCCTTCTGTCTGGTTTGGCTGAAACCACTGTGGGGGTGGGGAGAAAGAATTATTAAGGTATAGATTCTAATCACAATGCCCAAAGGTAGCGGCTGCAGGAGAAGGCCCCACCAGAAGGGTCCTCACTTCAGGCTGCCCCCCTGATACTTCCACAGCCTGAATCAGAGCTGGACTTCCCTGGACGTGGGGAGGGGGGTAGAATCAGGGACCAAGGAGGAGAATGTCTAGAGTTCAATCGACCTGGCAGCCCGGCCTCTGGGAACATGCCCAGAGCTCTGGAGGGCCGTCCAGCCTGCAGATGTCCCCAGCTTCAGGAGAAAAGTCATGGTCTGTGTAGCAAGGCCAGCCTCTTCCTCTGAGCCTAAGAAAGAAAGGGCTGAGATGGTCAATTATCTCAGGGTTATGAGTGTGCTGTGGGGGGATCAGCCAGCCATGGGAAGCACAAGGGGGAAACGCTGCTTCTCCCCAGCAACTCTCCCCGGAGCCAATGGGACATATTTCCCAAAGGACCTCCAGCTTCCTGTGTGCAGGTGCAGAAGAGCCCCACAGACTCCTCAGGTGCTCAGTTCTAACACTCCGTGACCTACGGGATTCCGCAGCTCACCCTCAGGGGCTGCCTTCTCTCCTGGACCATCGCTGCTCCCCTTTCCTAGTTTATTCTTCAAAATTTTATTTATTTATTTGCCATATAGCGTTCACATTGAATCTTCAGTCTGATTTAAATCCATCTTGCTGCATCCTAAACAGTGGCAGCTAGAAGAGAGGGAGGGGGAAAGCAAAAGGAATGCTGAGAAACCGAGGAGGAGAAAGACAAAGCAAGGAGAGAGGACTGAGGAAGACCCGAGCAAGTATCTGAGAGGAGCCACCTGACCGGAGAATGGCTTCGGCATTGTCCCTAGTCTCTCTCCCTGTCAACATTTCATAGCTGCAAGCCCGCACTCACACTACGTGTAGGCGTGGACACACACATACACATGCACAACACATACTTAGGCTGTGGGGAAGGCCTGGCTGTGTGTGGAGTTCCAGGGGGCAGTCCGCCCCCACCTGCATAATTATCTCTCTGCCTCACATCTCCCCACCTGCCAGTCTTCCAGCACTAGTTCTTTGTGCTTTCAAAGCAGCTCCCTCCCAGAATGCTACCTCCAGGAAGCGCTGAGCTGAGAGAATGAGGGAGTGGAAGGAAGGCGAGCTAGTCCTCTCTCCCCATAGCACTGCTCCATCAAACAGCACCCGCTTCTCCCCTCAACTCCACCTCTTTCATCACTGCCACTGACAGCTGCAAAAACAGCCCTCTCGGGGATGTGCCCATCTATTTGCTATCTATTTCCTGGGGCAGGAGACAGCCAGGGACTGGGGTAGAGAAGCAGCATCATCCATGCCAACACCCTCTGCCTCCCTTCCCCCATATGTAAAGAAACAAAAGAGAATGCCCTCCAGCCAGGCCCTAGAACCAGTGTGCAGTCACCGCAGCTTTCTAAAATCCCTGCCCAGGCTGGCCGCCACCCTGTCCTCCCAAGATAGACTCTCTTTCTCAGACCTTGGAAAGTCGCTCTAGGATACCTCACCCTGAAAGACAGATCCACTCTTGGAATGCTGGGAGACAGTGATGGATTCGCCCACACACTAGCAACCTACTTCCATTAACTCCGATGTCCAAATAATTTCTTTAAATCACCAAGGATGAGGCTGGGGAGGGGAAGGTGAGTCTGTGACATCAATCTCCAGCAGGGATTACTCCTTCAAACCTGGCCAGGGCCAGGCAGGAAAAATACCCGGCACATTCTTCTGGGACAAAACTATGGAAATGAGACCCCAGCCCACCCCCACCCACCCCTACCACCCACGGTACCTCTTCTCGCCTAAGTTCTTGTCCTCCCTCTCCCTTGGACAACACAGATAGAGGCTTTTCCACCCATTCCTGGAGGCTTCAGGGCTCTGCCTGCTCCTTGGCAAGGTGGGAGCTGCCTCCTGGGGCATCCCAGCCCCCCTAGCAGCCAAGAGAGCATCTCCTGTGTGACCAGCACCCAGGGTGACCCAAAGGGCAGGGTATGAGCATAACTAAAAGCTAAGAGCTATACCCCAGTTACCAGCTTACCATTCCTTCTCAAATTACCCTAATTACTGCCCTCATTTTACAAGGAGGAAATGGAGACTTAGAGGGGCCAAATTGTACACAGCTAGCTGCTAGAAAGAGACGGATCTGAGTCAAGCACAGGTCTTCCATCTCCAAAGTCTGCCTATAGAGAGATCACGTCCTGGTAGGAAAGGGGGACAGGAAGCAGGTGACATTTCAATTGCTTCATGTTCCCATCTACCCTTGGCTCTGGAACACAGGTTCATCAGCTCAGACCTACTGTTCTAGCCCCGGCCCAGCTTACCCTGCCTGCTGCTAAGCCAGCCTCCAGCTGGGAGGTTTGTACATCTTGGGGATGGGCCAGGTGGGGCCTGGAAGGCAGAGGGGACAGAGAAGGGAAGAGCTGGCATTTTGACAGGGCCCAGGAGCAGGCGAGGAGAAGAGAACTGGGCAGATGGGCCCGAACCGGCCATGTGGGGAGGCTGGGCCTTGGGAAAAGCGTGGGCATAGTGGGGCCTGGCTGAAGCACGGCTTTACCCAGTTGGCATTTCTCGCTTCCTCCATTCTCCCTATCGCTCTGAATTGTCTGTTTTAGATACGATTCTTTCCAAATGGGCACCCTCCCCCTACAAAGAGACTGGCATGGGGAGAGATGCTTTGCTGACATCATAGACTTCTTCCAGTAGCAACAGCAGGCTGGGGAGCTGGCGGCCCAGACCACAACAGGAGCAGTTAGTGATGTTCTGTTCCAGCAGATTGGAGAGGGTTTCCCATGGCTCAGACCTGAGGCTGAGGAGCCAGAATGGAAAAAGCAGGAGAAAGGAGGCCCCTGAGCTCTTGGACAAGCAGTGGGCTTGTTGGTGGCCTGGAATAAAGGTGTCCATATAGGCTTTCCCCTCCTAGAAGGACAAAAGTCAGCACTGTCCAGCCCTGTGGCTCTGATGACAGAGGTGGCTTAGTGTGGGTGTCCCCCATAGAGGTGCTCTACCTCTTCTAGGCCCTGAAAAGTTACCATAAACAAGGGGAGAATGAGCAGGAACCAGTGACTGGCACTGGGTGGTTTCCATGTCTCTTCTGCTGTTTGCAATCTCCACCTCCTGGGCTCAAGTGATCCTCGTGCTTCAGCTTCCCAAGTAGCTGGGACCACAGGTGTGTGCCACCACACCCAGCTAATTCTGTATTTTTTTGTAGAAATGAGTTTTTTCATGCTGCCCAGCCTGATCTAGAACTCCTGAGCACAAGCCTCAGCCTCCCAAAGTGCTGGGATTAAGGGTACAAGCCACTGCGCCCAGCCTGTTGGTTCATTTTTTGTTTTTGAGATGGAGTCTCACTCTGCTGCCCAGCCTGGCTGGAGTGCAGTGGCACAATCTCGGCTCACTGCAACCTCCCCCTTCTGGATTCAAGCAATTCTCCTGCCTCAGCCTCCCAAGTAGCTGAAATTTTAGGTGTGCACTACCACGCCCAGCTGATTTTTGTATTTTTTGTAGAGACAGGGTTTCACTATGTTGGCCAGGCTGGTCTCAAACTCGTGGGCTCAAGTGATCTGCCTGCCTCGGCCTCCCAAATTGTTATGTTACAGATGCAAGCCACTGCGCCCAGCCTGTTTGTTTTCTCTATAGTCCTTTTTAAAGCATGACTCCACGTTTCTCTGAAGCAGAAACTCACCTGCTCTCTCAAGTGTTTTGCTGAGTGGGGGTGGAATGGGATAACTTCCTTTCCAGAGTCTGAAGAGCTGCAGCAGTTTTGGTCATCTAGCGGAGCTGCCTTAGTCAGTTCAGGCTGCTATAACAAAATACCATAAACTAAGTGACTTATAAACAACAGAAATTTCTTTCTTTCTTTTCTTTTGAGACAGAGTCTCACTCCGTGGCCCAGGCTAGAATGCAGTAGCACTATCTCAGCTCACTGTACCCCCAGGTTCAAGCAATTCTCCTGCCTCAGCCTCCTAAGTAGCTGGGATTACAGGTGTGCGCCACCATCTCCGGCTAATTTTTGTAGTTTTAGTAGATACAGGGTTTCCTCATGTTGGCCAGGCTGGTCTTGAACTCCAAGTGATCTGCCTGCCTCAGCCTCCCAAAATGTTGGGACTACAGACGTGAGCCACTGCACCTGGCCAGAAATTTATTTCTCACAGTTCTGGAGGCTGGAAATCCAAGTTCTGGGAGGGGCCTTCTTCTTCCTTCAGATGGCCAGCTTCTCATTACATCCTCAGCTGGCTGTGCACAGAGAGAGGAGGCAAGCAAGAGGCAGCACGCTCTCAGGACTCTGGTTTTAGAGAGCAGGTCTTGCTCTGTCACCCTGGCTGGAGTGCAGTAGCACAAATAGCTCACTGCAGCCTCCAACACCTGGCCTCAAGCCATCCTCCTGTCGGGCTCCTGAAATGCTGGGATCACAGGTGGAAGCCACCATGCCTAGCCCCATTCATGAATGATGGCACTAATCTCATTCATGAGGGCTCCACCCTTATGACCTCATGTAATCCTCATTACCTCGAAAAGCCCCCTCCTCCTAATATCATCACATTGAGGGGTAGGGTTTCAACATACAAATTTAGTGGGGGACACTTAGTCTGCAGCAGGGGCCACACATCATGTCAAGAGAAGCAAGAAACAAATACTTTGGGCTTGATCCTTACACTATCATCTGGTTACTCTTAAATGAGGCTCTCCAGATGCTCCCTTTGCAGATCAAAGCCAAAGAACCCAGCTTATCAAGAGAAGTTGCAGCCCACCAGTCTTAGCACTAAAGGATCCCCAGGTTTCCCCTAGATTCCAGGCCAAAGGCCCTCACCACCTATTTGGTGACAGACTGAAGTTTGTGGATTTTGAAATGGAAAGCAGCTGGTATGGGAGAGAATCCTTTGCACATGGAGGTGCTCGATAAATGCTGGATGCTGGGAGAGGAATACGCTCCAAAGGAGGCCAATGTTCTGTAATGTGAGGAGACAAGAGGAGGCTGAGTAGGAATAGGGGATGTTGCTACTTCAGCCAAAGTGACCAGGGGGCCTACTCTGCACACCTACCAAACTGGAGGTGGAAGGACAGGTTATCATTAGGTCAGATCAACCTCCTAAGCCAGCATGAATTATTCTCAGCCTCCACTGAGCCTACCTGGGCTCTGGTCTTGTCTAGACACTTCCTCTCCAGCTGAGGCTAGGAAGCAGGTGCAGTCACTCACAGCCTCACTCTTCACGGAGGCGCTGCCATTAAGAACCCTGATTAGTAGAGCCCCATGCCGGGCTGCTAATGAGTTGAGGACATTAAGCATAAATGCTTTCCCAGATATGGGCTTGAGCAGCTCCCAGGAAGAAACAAATATTTTAATCTCAAAGAAAGAGAATGTAGGAGGGGAGGGGTTCCCCCTGCTTACTAGGCATCTGTTGTCCTCCCATCCTCCACCTGCCATACTTGCTGCCATTCTCAAGTCCCTGGAATTCCCTGTCCAGGGCGGGGCAGGGGAGAACAGATCCTCACTCACCCAGGCATATGGGAATGGAAGAGATTCTCAAAGATTTAGAGGGAAGGGGATTTTGTGGACTGCCTTGACCTATAACCCCGATGGTCAAGAAGTCCTTGACATCAAATTTGGATGACTCTTGTGATAACTCAAGCCGACTTCCCTTGGTTGGGGAGTTGGGGAAAAGGACTAAAGATCAATGAGGGACACCTTTTGACCCAAACTAGCTGCTCTAGGCCAGTGGTTCTCCCAATGTGGTTGGGACCAGCAGTATCAGCATCCGTATCAGCTGGAAACTTGCTAGAAATGTGAGTTCTCAGGATTACGCCAGACCTACTGAATTGGAAACTCTGGGTGTGGCAGCAGGCAAACTTGTTTTTTTGTTTGTTTTTGAGACAGTCTCACTCTGTTGCCCAGGCTGAAGTGCAATGGCATGAACACAGCTCACTGCAGCCTCGACCTTCTGGGCTCAGCTGATCCTCCCACCTCAGCCTCCAGAGCAGCTGTGACTGTAGGCATGCCTGGGTAATCTTCTGGTATTTTTAGTAGAGACAGGGTTTCGCTGTGTTGCCCAGGCTGGTCTCAAACTCCTGGGCTCAAGTGATCCACCCACCTTGGCTTGCCAAAGTGTTGGGAGCCACAGGTGTGAGCCACTGCACCCAGCCCAAACTTGTTTTAACAAGCCTTTTAGTGGTTCTTGTCCACTTTCAAGTTTGAGAACCACTGCTCTTGGCTCTCCCTCTTGAACTGAAGGGAAGAGTCAAGAAAAGGAAGAATTATGAGGGATGCAACAAGCAGCTTCATCCAAAGAAATAAAGAAATTGGAACTTTCCCAATGTGGAAATCTCAAGCCAGGCCTCAGAAGAGGCCTCTGATCCTCTGCGGCTGTAAATGTCAGAGCAGTGTCTAAGTGGCCCTGTGAGGAGGAGTCGGGGAAAATAACCAAGCGTGACCTTTTGCATTTTGCCCAGAGCACGGAAGGATAATGGAGCAATCTTTTCAGGTCATTTATCTCCTGCTCGGTCCCAGCTTTTCTCAGCTACCTTTCCCTCCAGCTGGGGCCAGCCGCCCCTCCTTCTCCACCAGACTTTAGGCCAGCTCCCCCCAACCCATCGCATCTTTCCCCATCCTCCATCAAATAAGAACTGGTTCAAACTGCTTCTTTTTTCTTCTCTTTTCTTTCTTTCTTTTTTTTTTTTTTTTTGAGATGGAGTCTTGCTCTGTCACCCAGGCTGGAGTACAGTGGCACTATCTCGGCTCACTGCAACCTCTGCCTCCCTGGTTCAAGCAGTTCTCCTGCCTCAGCTTCCCAAGTAGCTGGGATTACAGGCACATGCCCCCATGCCTGGCTAATTTTTGTATTTTCTTTTTTTGATGGGGCGGGGAGTGGAGCGCAATGGTGTGATCTTGGCTCACTGCAACCTCTGCCTCCTGGGTTCAAATGAGTCTCCTGCCTCAGCCTCCCTAGTAGCTGGATTACAGACATGTGCCACCATACCCGGCTAATTTTGTATTTTTAGTAGAGATGGTGTTTCACCGTGTTGGTTAGGCCGGGCCTGAACTCCCGAACTCAAGTGATCTGCCCGCCTTGGCCTCCCTGTAAGTACTGGGATTACAGGCATGAGCCACTGTGCCTGGCCAATTTTTGTATTTTTAGTAGATTCAGGGTTTCACCATGTCTGACCTCAGGTGATCCAAAGGTCACCTCCCAAAGTGCTTTTTTTGCCCTCCCAAAGTGCTAGGATTACAGGCATGAGTCACCGTGCCCAGCCTCAAACTGTTTCTTAAGCAGACCAGCAAGGAATGAGACCCTGCTCCACAGAGAATAAGAGGGCAAACAAACCCACTATAACCTGTAATGGGGCAGCCTCTCTTCGTACCCTCCTCTCTTTCTTAACAGGCCATACCCCATGCAGAGTGAAGCCACTCTTTCCCTGGCCTTTTGCACAACACCCGAATGGTCACACTTGCAAAGAAAGAAAAGGACAAAATCCGCTCTATAGCTTATCTTCCAATATCTGCCGTACTGGATCACTAACACAGTAGACGCCTATGAATATTTCATAAATTGAACTCAAGGGAGCTCCTAGAAGCAAGAAACAAAAGAGTCTGTTTCCAAATTGGACCCACAACAGAGATCAATACATGGGTCCTCCTGAAATGACTAAGGAAGAAGCAACCTTCTGCTGCCCGTGCACTGCTGACCCCATATGTTCATTTGCTCCACAAGCATGTGTAGCACACCTGCTATACGTGGACCCTAGATCATATGTTCTAGTGGGAAAAACACATATAAAGTAAGTAAACATATAAGATTTCAGGTAATGTTCATTGCCTCAGAGAAAAACAAAAGATGGTAAGGGGGCTGGGGATGGTGGGAATGGGGTCCAAGAAAAGCCTCTTTAAGTGGGTGGCATTTGAGCAGGATCCAAAAGGAAGTGAAGGAGCCACATTTGCAGCTATCTGGGGGAAGAATGTTCCAGGCAGAGGATATAGCAGCTGCAAAAGCTCTGAGGTGGGGTATTTTGCAAGGTGTGGAGTGGAGTGAGTGAGGCTGGAGTGGGGTAGTAAACGTGAGAGAAGTAGGATATGGGATCACGGAGAAATCGGTGCTCAACTTATGCAGGGCCTTGTAGACCATGGTAAGGATTTTAGATTTCTTTCTGAGTAAGACAGGAAGTCATTAGAAGGTTCTACACAGAAAAGTGACACGTTCGGATTTACCAGGACTACTCTGGCTGCTGTGTTTAGAACAACCTGTAGGGGGCAGAGCAGAAATAGGAAAACCACTTAGGAGACTATGGCAGAGCCAGGAATTTTCCCCCCAAATTCATCCTTTCCTTCCACATTTTAACTAGGGACATGGCTGCTCAGAAAAAGGACTACATTTCCCAAACTGCCTTGCAACTAAGCACAGCCACGTGACAAAATGCCAGCAAAAGGGATGTGAGAAGATAACTGCAACTCTTGGGTCATGTTCTTGAGAGCTCAGCACAGCTAGACACATTGTGCTATTTCTTTGTGTTTTTTTCCCCAACTTTATTAAGGTATAATTTACAAATAAAAATGTTATATAGTATTTAAGCTGTACAATGTAATGTTTTGGTATCTGTATGCATTGTGAAATGATTACCACAATCAAACTAATGTACACATCCATCACATCACCTCATGTAGTTACTTTTTCTTTTTTTTTTTTGAGACAGAGTTTTGCTCTTGTTGCCCAGGCTGAAGTGCAATGGCGCCATCTCGGCTCACTGCAACCTCCACCTCCCAGGTTCAAGCAATTCTCCTGCCTCAGCCTCACAAGTAGCTGGGATTACAGGC